AGATGTTTTTCTAGAAAATATCTGAGATGAAGCTAAAAATGTCTGGTAGGAAAACATGAGGTTTACGTGATGCCAACTCTCGCCTGCAGGTGGCAGTATTTCTAACTTCTACTACAGCATTGTTGCTGCCTCAGCGATGATTGAAGTCAACAAGTAAAAAAAGTAACAATTACCGTCATGCATGAACGTAAATATCGCATATGTTTTTGCAAATATCTAAATTAAAAGTTCAAAGGGTGTTACTCCTTTTAGCATCACTCTGTCGAGAGAACAACAACCTGTTGATTTACATTTAATTAATGAAGAAGAAGTTAAAGTTTAAATCAACTGTCTGGGTAAGGTAAGGTAGGTAAGGTAATTTTATTTATATAGCACATTTTCAGCAACAAGGCAATTCAAAGTGTTTTACATGAATTAAAAGGAAATACAAACGAAATGTCAAATGTCATCTAATATCATAAATGTTTTACATGAAACTTTACTCAGTTTTATTGACAACTGAGTAGTTTTATCACAAGAGCTTCAGAATTGTCAACATTGAATGATTAATATTGTATTGAAAACTGAGTCAGTTTCTCAACTGTCTTTCAAACTTTAAAATACCACAAATAGAAACGAGCAGATGTCATCAAACCACAGGCAAAGTGAAGTAGTTTAGATCGACTGAGATAAATGACAACCAAAAACTGATAGATGGCTCTGACAGGAAATAAAACATTTCAGATTACTGAAAAATGTGTAAGAAATAACTAAAATAATGATTGATCAACACTGTAATACATAAAAACACAAACAGGATTGATAACCGTCGCTTTAGTAAAGTAGAATAAAATTGTAAGACTTAATTTAAGACTTGAAAAAGTGGGAACAGAAAATATGTTGAAACTTCTGCTTTTTCTGACTGAAACCAGCTGGGAAGCACAGAAACACTCAGAAAAGAATTAAACACTGTTAAATTAATTTATTAGCTGTAATATTTTGTGCAGAAACAAATTAGACAAGGAGTATTTTACAAAAGGAAAAAGGAGTAAAAGTAATTTAAAAAGTACATATAACCAGAGTATAAAGCTATATTTAAATATGTATATGTTTATTTCGGCTGCACAGAAGGTGTGCAGGTCAGACGATGGGCTTCTTGTCCATCTTGATCGTCTCGTAGGTGTCTGTGGTGCGGGACGTCAGACCCTGCAGGACACAAACGCTGAAAAACTCACTGATGCAAGGTTAAAAACGGCTTTACGCAAGCAGTTCCTGCAACCAGACCGGGCGTAAAACAGCGACAGCCGGCTGCTTTATTCAGCAAAAACCAAAACAAAAACAAAAAAGTGACTGGCTCTCACTTTTCCCTCCAGTGCCTTTTGAAAAGTAATTTTTAGCATTAAAATAAGAAATCTTACCGCATAGATGCCTCCGCCTGCAGGCTGCTTCTGTAGGACGGAAACAAAAATATCATCAGGAGGATTCAGGATTTGGAAATAAATGTCCTAAATATCTATACCCCCCTCTTTGAGCTGCATTTTAATTTAATTTCATCTGAAAAGTTTAAGACTGAAAAACAAAAACATCAGCAGGAAGCAGGATCTGACACCAGGGTGACAAGTGGAAACTCTGAGTGTGAAAATAAATAATGTAGGTTGGTGGTCAGCTCGAGCTTACAGGAAACGATTGAGCTCTGAAGAAGAGCTACCACAGAAGTCACATAAATAAAATGGCACCCAATTCTTCAACACAAACACACAGGTTTTTACCTCTGGGTGGCTGCCGGATGCTTTATTCGATGGACGCATCTGAGAAAAATCAAACCAGAAATGTGGAAAAATATGATTTTTAAGCAAAAATAAACTGAAATCAGCTGCATTTTTAAACAAAACGATAACACCCGCACGAAAGCTTTGTTATTTTTAATGGGTCTTACCCTCAGCCTGCAGTACAGGACGGTGAGAATGATGCCGTACAGGATCAGAACCCCATCCAGGATGTAACACACGTTCATGTCTCCAGCTGCTTCTATGAACATCATCAGCGAATAAACAAACTCCCGATTCAGTAAAGACGGATCAACAGAGGGCTGGAACTTACCGGAGAAGGAGGAGAAGGAACCGCTTTGTTCGCTCCCTTCGTCAGAGAAACGTCGACGCGTCTGAAGAGCCTCAACTGAGCGACTGAGAACAGGAAGTGAAGGGCTCTCTGTCCGTTTTGAAGCTATGAAACCACACGCCTACCACATCAGCCATCTTCCTTCTCAGAAGTTCCTCTTAAAAGTGTTTTTTCAAGAAGCCCCCTGTCTCTCTATAAGGAGAAATTCCTGTTAGGAAACATTCTCAGCTCAGAAAACAGCTGACAAGACAGGACTTATTAGGAATAGATGGTTTAATAGAAACGATGTCTAAAGCACTTTACAAGCTACTGTTACCAAAAGGAGAAAACACAAATCTACATTTTTTTTCTTTACAAGTTTTTTTTCTTTTTTCAATTTAAGTAAAAACATTCAGAAAATTGCATCATCATAACTTAGGCACCTTAAAATGATACAAAAGTTAATTTTTCAAAATAAAAAAAATGGAGCCTGAAATAATTCTTGGCATGCTTTCCTTAGAAAATAAAAAAAATCAGGAGTGTTCATGTGAAACAGTTTATGTGAGAGGAGCTGTAAGAGGCAGTCAAGGTGCAGATCCTCCACGTCTGCAGAGAAAAGGTTGGATTAAAGCGGCACAAGGCGAGGCGGTGATCAGAGGAGTTACAATCGCTCGTCCGGTTTGGGACATTTATCCGTTTTTACATCAAATACACAAACCGTGTGGTCGTAGATGCATAAAAGCAGCTTGAGCAGAACTGGTTTCACCCTCAATAAGTGACTCCTGTAACCGGCTCCATTATGAGAAGTTTACAGTGTAAGCAGGTAAAAAAGTGACAATTTTAAAAATGTAAAAAAAACAAAATTACTGCTACCCGTTTAAAATTATAAAATTCAAACTCTTAATGTTTGCGTTTTTGCTTCAACGGTTGTTGCGTCTTCCTCAAACCACGGATTTTATTTAGTTTTTCTGCCATTTAACTCTTCCATCTTTAATAAAATGCTAAAAAAGAACTCAACATTTTCAGAAAAGCTTGATTTTATCACATATGAACACTAAAAATATTATTAAAAATATGGTTTGATGAGTGAAAATGTCCAATTATGAATTGCCTCTGCTTTTAGAAAAGCTGCATGATGTATTCATTCTGAATAATTCTCAGAATTAACGCACCGGATTTAGAATTTCCTTTACCTTCAAGTCTAAATTCACGTCTGCATCATAAGTGACAAAGTTGAACTGCTGAGAAACTCTGCTAAAAATATCTTTTTATATTCCATGCAAGGACAGTCAGAGAGCTGCAGGCACAGAATCAAGGTCTCTCATGGTTCATGCATGTACTGACCACTAAACCAAACCGTTAACGTGAACAAAAAACATTTAGTTGCTGAATTACAAACTTTTTCTTCTTTTGCGACTCAGATTGGAATCGGGGAATCTGCAGCCAAATATTGTTGCACAGCTTAAGCACAACAGAGAGGAATCCTGATGATTTTATGCTCATCTTATCTTATTTTTAATAATAAAATCAGCTGGAAAACCAACAAGCTCGGTCAATTTCTTTCTAAATCAATCTGTTTTGATTCTGTTTGTTCGATTTAGGGCCAAATTGGCCAAAATGAGCTCATAAAGGCTGAAAACAGTTAATTTAATGATTTAAATTACTTACATTTAGAATAATGTGATTAAAAATGCCACTGAGTCAGACGCTTCTGTTTATTTTGGGTGAGTTTCACCTACAGCCAGGAATATTTATGAGCAATAGTCATCAACTTCAAAAAGCCTTTAGTCGTTTAGCACATTTTGTATGGCGGATTAATGGATTTTGGTATTTCCAGTTGATCTGTTGGACCACCGCCAGACTCATGCATCCAAATGAGCTGCAAAATTAGGATGACAGTGTTATACACTGCAAAAACACAAAATATTATCAAGTATTTTGGTTTAATTTGTAGTGCAAATATGTTAGTACACCTGAAATAAGACGAAAATAACATAAATGTAACTTTTCGCCAAGATATAGGAGCTTGTTTTAAGTCAATAATTCCTTAATATTGATGTAAAAGCACTAGATCCACTGGCAGATTATTTCATGGGAAAAATATCTTTTTATAAATGAAATAATCTACTAGTGGAATATTTCAATATTTAAGGATTAATTACTTAAAACAAGGTCGTAAAAGTTACTTGTAGGTTAGTTTTGTCTTATTTCATGTTTTCACTGGAAACTAGTCCAAAAATACTTGGTAATACTTTGTGTTTTTGCAGTGCATCATGGGAAAATAATAATAATTAAAACAGCTGCATTATGTAGATCTGCTCTTCTTTACATAAAAACAATCAACTCACAGCACGTAATGCTACATTCTGCAGGTTAAAACAGTAAAAGCCACTCCCTCTCATATAAAAGCAGGTCCATGCGCTTTCGGAGAAAACATCGCCAGCGTGACTGACAGGAAGTGACATAATCTCCCCCTTCCTCTTGCGTGCGTGTGTTGAGTCACTGCTTCTCTGTGGTTCAGTGGTTAAAGAGAAATAAACCTTTCAGAGAGAAAACACCGGCGGCGAAAAGGCCTCTGTTTGTTTTTGTTTTTTTAACAATCATTGAGCCGATCACAGTTTGATGATCAAAAAAAAAAAAAAAAAAAGTTGCATTCCTCCTTCTGATTGGTTTCTGTCACAGAAGAGCGTGAGAGAAGGCTGTTTGCTGATTGGATAATGAAGCGTGTCCGTGTCACATATGGGAGGAGCGGCGCCGCTCACACCGACGTCTCCGACTGAAGCCGCATCACGAACTTGTGGCTCTTTGGGTCGATGAACTCCTCGCCGAGCCGCAGGAAGGGAAGCGGCGTTACCGTGACAACCAGGGAGAAGTCCAGGCGCCGCAGGGAGAAGACCAGCCCCTGCCGTAGGCCCGAGGTGACGGGCTCCTCGCTCACCAAAGTCCACTGGCGCCCCCTGCCGCTCTGCTGCTGGTACTGCATGGTGGGGCCCGGGGTGAGGTATCGCTCCAGGAAGGCCTGACAAGCAGAAAGAGACAGAAAATGTTGGACATTAATAAATTTATCCTTTCACAGAAATTTACCTTCCATCATAAAAATATAAAACACAAACATTCACTGTGGATTTATGGTAAAAATGTTCAGCAGGAAGGATGAAAAAAGGAAGAAAAGAGTAAAAATTTAAATAAAAAAGAGGGTGAGAAGGAAGGAGTGGAAAAAATAAACATTGAAGGAGAGAATGAAGGAGGAAAAAAAAAGAAACAGAAGAAGAAATGAAAGGAGGAAGGGAAATGAGAAAAGGACAGAAGGGAAAATTGATAACAAAGAGATTAATTAAAAAAGGGATGAAAGAAAAGAAGGAAGGAATGGAAAAAGGCAAGGAGGCAAGGAAGAAAAGAGTAAAAAATAAAATAAAATGAAGGAGAAGAGGAAGGAAGAAAGAACACATGAAAGGAAAAGCCTGAAAAAATAAGGAAGGAATAAAAATAGGAAGAATACAGAAAGACAGAAGGGAAGAAGAAATAACATGAGGATAGAAAAAGGAAAAATAAAGACATGAGAATTTAAAATCAAGCAAGGAAAAAGAGAGAGAATGGAGAAATAAAAGATACATTGAACGAAGTAAAGAAGGGAAAGAGGGAGAAAGTAGGGAAGGAAAAAAGAGAAAAAGAAAGGAAGGAAAGATAAGAATGAAAAACAAGAAATAAAGAAAGAATAGAAAATCAGACACAAAGAAAGAGAAGGAGCAGCATTTTTTTCTACTCAGACGTCGACGCCAATCCGATCGATAACAGTCAATGAAACTCTTCCACAGCGGCCAGAGTCACCTGGTCGCTATGGAAACCCCTTGTTCTCACCTTGGGCGTCATGTTGTGAGTGATGCAGAACTGCAGGTGCGTGAGGATGCTCTCCATGCTGTGGAAGGCCTGCTGCCGCGTCGTCCTCAGGTACTTCTGCATGGCGCGCGCCATCGGGGCGAAGATGGCCTGCGCCGCCTCCCGGGGGTCCATCACCTCCCGGGGGTGCTTGGGAGACGCCCCTGCCTCGTCCTCGTGCAGCCGCTTGATGTGCGTGAAGGCCTCCTCGACCGCCACGACCAGCCTAAACGGGTAACCATGACAACGACCGAACATGGGATACAATTAGGCCTAAACGACAAATCAATTAATCACATGGCAAATTAGATTCAGTCTGGTGCTTTGGTTTCAAGTTGAGCTTTTTATTTATTTTTATTTTTCTGTTGCTTTTCTTTCTTTATTTTTAATATTTAAAATGTCTTAAATGTTTATTACAATTTATTGATCTTTGTGTTCTTGTATTATTATGACTGTTATATTACTTGAAAATTACCTCCAAACAACCATATTATTTATTGCAATAATTTCTGGGACAGTTTATCTTCCAGCAAAATTTGTTATCATGACAGCCTTAGAAATAATTACAGTTAATTGTAGATAAATGGTTTATTACGCGTGTCAAACTCAAGGTTCATCGTAGCTTTTTAGGACATGTGTGTGTTTTTATATTATTGTATCAATCAAATCAAAGCAGTTTTTATCTGTTTACTGTCGTATTACATCAATCTGTTTGTTTTAATTCCGCGTGAAAATCAACAGGCCCCTGCATAATTGTGAGTTTATTGCAGATTTCCACAAAAATAGTCAAAAACATTTAAGTGACTTCTAACTCCCACCTGCAGGTGGCAGCATTTCTTACTTCTACTCCACTGCTGCCTCAGCCTTATTTTATCTGAAGTCTGTGATTAAAATGGCTAAAAAAAATTAATAAATATGACTTTATCATATTGCAAAAAATATTGCAAAAAATTCCTTGTAAATATTAAATTAGCACCACAGAATCTGAGTTTGTTTGGGAAGAAAATCATGAAAGCAATCCCAGAATCCTGGAGGGACTCATCAATGTGGAAAGATGTTCAGCGTTATTTACTTTAAGAAGTACTTATTGAATGATAGTAATATTTTAACAGTTTGTTAATGGGTTTCATCAATACACAATCAGGAAAATGCGCTTGTAACTGGCTCTCCAGAGATCATATTTTTTCAGAATCCTGTAATTAGAGCTTCAGATGTTTTGGATTTTCTACCAGCTTTGCACATCTAGAAATTGGTTTTTTTTTTCCCTTTGCTATTTGCAGAAAAGCTGAAACTCAGTCAGACTGGATGGAGAACATCTGCTAACATGAGTTATCAATTATTGGCACAGATCTGCAGCTGGATTTATGCCTGAGCTTTTCATTTAGGCCTAAGACATTGTGCAGTAGCTCTGGCTTTATGTTTACAGTTGTTGCATGGACAGGAAACAGATTTTTATTTATTGTTTTTATCTCTGCAGCTCTTCTAGAGTCACTGTGGATCCGTTTCTTGCTTCTCTTGATTGCGGTTCACTAATATTCTCTAACAAACCTCTGAGGTGTTCATTTTCACTGAAACTAAATGACTTACTAGCTGACTTATAACTTTAGTGCATCAAAGGAAATTTGATGCACTAAAGTTTATTTAGGGGTATTTCAGCAAAGGGTGCTGAATGCAAACCTTCCTCTTAATAATTATCCACTCCTAATACATATAATTAAATTAAGTACCCAATATATAAGGTTTTTTGTGACAAAGTGTGAAAAATTCAAGGGTTATAAACATTTTCTGAAGACACTATGCCTACAGATCAAGCCATTTATATTTCTGAGTATAATTATTTGTATTTAGTTGCATTTTTAGTCTTTCTACACCTTCCAGTGAGATAATATACTAGAACTGACTTATGAAGTTATGAAACCCTAATAGTCAAGTTAACCAGTTCATCTGAGGCAAGCAAAACTGAAACTGTGTGTTCCTCTGAAATGAAGGCCTCGGCTCTAAGTAAACAGAATAAACTCATCATTCTGGACTGTTGGGACATAAGCTAGCATGGCTTCTCCAGGCGGCAGACTGCCAATTAATCAAGCTTTTCTCCAAAAGAAAGAAAAAAAGCCTTCCTCGGAAAACTGTCTGATTCTTACAGCAGCCGTAATAACCAGAACATGTGAGGACAGGACGACCATGACTCATTTAAATGAAGGCTTAAGTCAGATTGTCGGAGTTTACATGATGGAAAGGCCTTGATATCCACAGCAGCCTTCATGATTGCTCTCTCGTCACTACATGCCCGTTTACTTTGAACAGGAACAGACTGCGGTTCTGCTCTCAGGCTTCACGCCATTGCTTGCGGTATCTAACCTGGCCTTGCGTTTGCGGATCCGGCGCTCCATCTCGGCCTCCTCGTAGTAATACTCGTTGTGGGAGTTGTCCCTCCTCCTGGCTGCCGCTGCGATCATGGCGCGCGATTGGCCTGTCGAGTTGTTGGTGGTGTTTTCTGCAAGACGACACATGCAGAGGGAGGGTTTAGAGGTTTGCACGACAGGTTTTCATCTATACTCAAAGCGAGAACAAAAGGGGAATAACGTCGTGTGTGGGAGAATCACAAGCAGGCTGAGGTGATAATCTCTCACCATCCAGGGAGTAAACCTTGAATCCGGTCATCTTCTTAGACAGGATGGACTTGGGAAGGTTGACCACAGCAGGGTTGTAGACAGAGAAGTCGTTGTAATACCGGTCCAGCACCCAGACGGCCGCTCGCTGGATGCTGCAAACAAATCAGAGGACAAAACCACTCAAATATCCGCTGCTATACTTTAGACATTTACAGAAGTGCTTCTGCATCCTTTTATGAAATAAAAAAATACTTTAATTACAGCCCTTTCCAAAGAAACATGAAGATAAAACGTCATTATCAGGATCAGAGAGGTGGAGGCTTCTCCTCTGGGGTGGAAAACGGTAGAAAAATAAACCGACTGAGGCTCAAAATGTTTCCTGGAACATTAAAAAACATTTAGACCAAACAAACTGTAGTAGTGCAAACTCAAGCTTCGCATGCAAGCTTTGAGAATTGATTTGATATTCTTGTGAGTTTCAGAGTG